GTTCTCATTTTATGTCCTGAAATGACCCATTCAAAACATAGGATGTGGCCTTTCCCAGAGTCTGGTGGGAATGAAAATCAGATCTGGAGCCAAGTCCGATGGTTTAACACATCTGTACTGGAAAGAGAATATTATACTTTTATGTTATAATCATTTGATATACTTGCATACTCTATACCCAAGAGTAAGCTCTCATGCTGTTTTATGCAACTGTAAACTTGGAATGAACTGTCTTAATGGGAACTCCCTGCATCTTGATCTTGATCCTGTCACACTACTTATTCCTTCTCACTTACATAATGCTTAGTTTCTTTTATATAAGCTGTTAGTAGGATACTCAAATTATCACCTGTATCCGTTTTATGTTTTCCTTCGGCATTATCTGACCTTTAGAAAAATACCATTACAATACATTTTAAGCTGTACATAAATGATTTTAAATGAATCGTTGACTAGATGTATGACATTTCCATGCAGTGTGAGTTACTTATGCATGTGAAAGAAGAGATTAGGAGAGCTTTTTTATCTCAGGTGTACAGCATCACATTTATGTTAAGTGTCCACCTGCCATCAGTGGCCTTGTAAGACCTTTGACATTTGATTTACAGGGTACAACAAAACTTCTTGCCCGTTGCTGTGCTTTTGCTGATTTTACTTTCATAAACTCTTGTTATCTTCTTGAGATACTTTTTTGTATACTTAGAGATGCACAGTGACACTGAATTCTACTCTCTCTCTGCGAGTCATTAGTTTCAACCTATTCGTGTGCCCATCTGGTTCCCTCTGAGGTTGCTGCCTTTGACTGAACCAAAGCTTTGCATTCACGCAATATGTAATTTGTGTAAATACGTATATTGTTTAGTTCTTAGTAACTAATCTGTCTGTAGTAACTAATCTGTCTGTAGCAACTAATCCGTCTCCCAGGAAGGGAGGTGGGGCAGCAACGGTGTTCTTGAAGACAGCAGCCTGGGAATGCTGATGGCTTAGAGCAGCAGCCTGATGCCAATACTCCTGCTGGAAGTTCAGACCCTGAGCTGTAGGAACGAAAAGCAGGACTCCAGCCTCTGAGAGAAAGTGCAGCCCAGGAGCTGAGGCAAGCCAGGACAGAGTATTTCATGCCCATTCCCTGCAACCTCCTGTTGCATCTTCATGCCTGACTCGATTCCCTGTTTGGAACAAAGTCCTGTTCTCCTACGTATCTGGTCAAACATGACACATCAGCAGCTGGCTGTAACCCAGCATGAGACTGAGGGTGTATGTGAGAAAGACAGAGGTAAAATACAGTAGGTGAAAGCCCTCCTCAACTGTTTTGGACCACTCCAACATCTTCCAAAGGGATCAACGCTCCTGTTTACAAGTGAGACAGCAATCAACCTCTTCCTGTCTTTGGGGCCTTCATCACTGAGGTGCTTACGAAAAACATACAGAATACAACATAGGACTTTTATATTTTTCTGTTTCTTCTGTACTTGGCTTGGCAGATGTTCCTGTGTACCCATTCAGTCTGCTTCCATGCATCCTCTGTGGATGCTAATATGCAGCACATAGTCCTTGCAATCATGTTGGCTCCTACTTACAGGCTGCTCTCAGTTCTGCTCCCTTGCCTCAAAGCCATTCCCAAATGGGGGTACAGTGATATCAGGTATCTCTGAACAGAATGGGAAAATTTGTGCTTGGAGAAGTGTCTTTATTACAGCAAATCCTCTGCTGATTTTCTTTGGCTGATAACGTTAGCGCTTGCTTTATTTGAGAAATATGTTCTGTCAAATTACTCAGTGTGCCTTCCCCTCTCCCCCCTCCCCCCAGAGCTTGCTCTTCTTTGCCAAAACAAGATGACTTACAATTCAGCCGGTCTGCATTTTTCCTGTATCTGATCATTAATTTTGCTAAAAGAAAGAAAAGTACAGGGAGTACCGCTGACCATCAAAGGCAGTTTTTGTGTTTCATGGACTTAGCCAATGGTTGATGTTTGTATGTCTTTGCTGCTTCAATTCAAGCAAATACTGGGGTTGAATTCAGCAAATTAACATGAGAAACTCAATGTCAAGACCCATTACAATAGAGAGAGAGAGAGTTCTTATTTGCAGGGTAATTTCTTAACAGCCTGGTTGCAGAGGAACACTTTTCCTTCTTGAATTGTGTGGGTCATGTTCATGAGGAAAACAACTCAGTGGTGATTGTTGATTTTTTTTTTTACACTGCTTTTTTTCCAAAAGAATTCCTAAGAAGGCAGCAGAGCTGTCTTATCCTGCTCCCATCGCAATCTTCTAGCTTAATTTTTCAGAAGGCCTAGGTAAGCTGTTTTTCATTCCTGAAGTTTTGTTCAACGACTTCAGCTGAGGAAGACTGGCACCTGCCTAAAGCTGCACCTGGCAACTTCGAAGTTTTCTTTTTCTTTTCTTGGGAGTGTGATTACGCTGTCTGGAGGATCTCCCATCTGGCTCTCTGCAGCTTTCAGCTGGCTCCGCGGGCCACGTCCTGCTCCAGTTGTATCTGTGCAAGGTTTGTTACTGTAATTTCATTGTGCTCACCTGCATGTCAGAGAGTTGGGTCTTAAAGGCCTCGTTTAACCATGACATTTAAGTGGGTTCTTTCTCCTGACTGTGAGGACTGACGTGTCTGTTGACTCCTGCAGTTCTTCATCTGGCAAATAGCCTTGTAAAATCAGAGGAGCAGCACCTGTGCTTAAACTAAGTGACCAAAACAGGGCCCCTACCATCAATACAGGTGCCTTTGCAGGACCACTAACCTAATGCTAGTAATCTTCATTCTGTTACTGGAAATACCACATTTTGTTCTGAATGTGCATAGCTGAAGAGATTTTGGGGTATAACTGTTCTTGGAATAGCATCCAGAAGAAGCGTCTTTAGACAAAAGTCCCTAGTCTCTGTCCTTGCATCCACCCTGCCAGCACCTTGAGTTTTTGGCAGGTGAAAATCCTCAGTGTGTTGCAGGATCTGAGTAATTGGCTATATGCTACTTTGACACAGAGCTATTGACCTCCCTTGGCTGTTTTCATGCTCCCTTTGCATTGTTTTGTGACTGTTAAAACCAAAGGTAAATGCTGGTGGTTTACAGTGCTGAGGCCCTGCTGCATGGGGACATCGGTGGGGAAGTTTGTCAGCGAGTTCTCAGAAAGGCTAAGGATGAGCCATCAGCTGTCTCTTCATTTAAGAAAAATTGTTCCAAGTTTGTTTTAGTTCCCCACTGCAGAGAATTAATTAGTTATAAAATTAAATACTTAAAACGGTTATTTTGTGGCTTATAAAATCTGAATAAAACCAAACAGGAATGATTCAATTGTTTATATAAAGGACTTCTTCCAGGAATATTTGATTGCTTAACTACAGTCCTCTCTAGTTCCTACAACTCTGCTTAAGGAAAATAGACTCCTAGAATAGTAGTTTTAAATCCTCTTCCCTGTCCCTTCCTTTTAATTTCTTTTTACTGTGTTGTTGTGCAGTCCCATGAATACAACACGGTAACAACATGTAACTGTCTTCTAAATACAGCTCTTCTGAGGAATGCCTTTTTCTCACAGTTAATATCTGGTTTTGTTGCTCCTTTGGCCCCTCCCTTTGGAGCTGTGAGGCTGTTCTGCCAGCTGTGGGTAAAACCAGTGTGTGTTTGTGTGTGAGCATGAGTGGGAATGCAGGGGGGGGTTGTCCTTTTAGGTACCGCTGTGTCAGTATAATGAGTGTTTTGTTATGGGTTAAATTGATAAAATAAATATCTCCTGTTTGATAACAAATACTGCGGTGGTTTTTAAACTTTATCTTGCAACTTAAGGCACTGTGTTTTGGTAATAAAAAAATTGTATTTCTAGTGATAGCATTTTAATTCACTTCAAAGTGCTGTGGATTCCAATTCCGTACTGTTAGGTTTTAATAAGATGACATGACTTTTCTCTTCAATGGCAATTACTCTGTTTTATTGTTCAGTATTGATTTACATTTTAAAACAAACTGAACACAAGAGTTTTGAACAAGAAAAAAATAGCAAGTAGACTGAAATATTTTTAATTATCTTTTTTAAGCAGGCAACTTTTTGGAAGGTTATATTCTGTAGTCTCCAAAATGTTTAAGTTCTTGTCATGTGAATTCATGTGAGAGAAGGATGACAGAGAACTCAAGTGCCTCATTCTATAGTGTGAAATGAAGTTTGTGGGTGGACTTTTCACAGGGCTGCATTATGCTTTGTCTCCATGTGACACGCTGGTTAAATGGACAGGACAAGCCTTTGTAGTTTTGCAATGTCCCATTGTTGTTTAGCACGTAAGAAGAAGGCAGGGCTGGTGCAGCTGTTCATAAGTGGTGATTGGAAAACCTTGTTCAGGGCAAGACAGAAAATGCTATATCATAATTCTGAGTCTGAGTTTTGAAGATGCTTCTGACAATGCGAAACACTCCCTTTCCTTAAAAACATGATTACCTCTAATCCTTGTTGTGTGATGCTACAGATGGAGTCAGTACTGAGCATCTATTAGCAATTCAGATACACACAGGGCTGAGGTTGAAGTTTTGATCTTTTATGCTCTCCAAGGATCTCTGAAGAGTATTTTTGGCCTGGGGGTTTTACACAGCCCTATTTTGTGAGAAATGCTGAGCTCCCATTTCTTTTCTTTCTGCTTTGCTGAGGGTGGGGTTCTGAAAGCCGCTGCCGAAAACTTCAGTTGTAGCCTGTCTTTTTGAAGTAGTTGCATTTTAAATACTTAGTGAGCTTCAAGTATTCTAATTTCCCCTGTAATAACAAGGACCTTCCTCTAACGGCAGACAGAGGAGACTCACTAACAACACTTTTCACGCTCACTCCTCAACTCATGTGGAATCTCATACCCCAGGGTACCAGACCTGTTCTTCACTGCTGACCTAGACACTAACCTTTTACTTTAGGAAGGAAGGGAAGGTTTGGCCTGAACTGAGAGTTGAGAATGTTTGCTAGAAGGCAAACATACACTGTTTGCAGTGTATGATCTAATAACTAGATGTCATCTGTTACAGCTGCCACCTTGCATCAGAGGCTCCTGGGAGGTTTTGCTGTTTGTAGAGTCCCAAACAGCTGGTGCCATGCAGGGAGAGCAAGCTGAAGGGTCAAGAGGATGTCAGGTATGTGCTCACCTGAGGGGTTTCAGATGTTGTGGAAAAGTCATATAAAAATGCTAGGATTCATCTGACACCGTCTCATATTCCTTGCCCAGGCTGTGGACTGGGAGAACACCACTTTGTGGCATTTCAGCCTTGACCTGGTGAAGTTGAGATCTGGCAGGTCTGTGCTGGTGATTTGGAAATTCAGATTTTCTGTACACTGAGACCTGTTTTCTGGATACTTGCAGGTTTTATCATGGTCACTGAAATTCAATACACGAGGACAGATCTATCCTTGCTCTTGGTTTAGGTGCTTGATTTAGGAAGCAGCTATCACGGAACAAGCTGAAAATACCAACTGGCATGTTGGTGAAGGCAATACGTCACACATGCATTTCTTCTGCTGGATGTGTACAAATATGAGACTCACGAGATGACACACTCAGTTCAGTGGCTGCCATATAAAAGATTAAAGCTTGGAGTTTGTTTGATTAATTCCAGTGTAGCAGAGCCCGTTGCTAGTATGTGACCAGAGGCACAGAGACAAAGGAGGGTCTTCAGAACGTGTTAACTGCAGGGGGGCGGGGGCGGCTTTCCCAAAGGTCACAGAACAGGGTCCATCCCGGCTCCGTGGGGAAGTGATCTCCCTGCAAGAGACAGCAAACGCTGCTTTTGCATACACCAGGCTCTTATTTGCTCATGATGTGACAGCACGAAAGACAATCAAAATTAGTTCATATATTAATTCTTCCCCCCCCCCTTTCTTGATGAGTCATTGTAATTACTGAAAACTAGCATGTTTTCCAACATTAACATATTGCATGGGCTATCAATATTCTAATGGACTCTTTCATATTCAGAATGTGGAAGAGGGTTGCTTGAAGATAATTTCCTGTATTTAATTAAGAGGCTTACATGTACATGGTACTTTTCAGAAACGTGAAATGGCTAATCTCAGAAAGGGTATTGTCAGGGTGCATAGTATGAAATTATATATTGCACCGTCTTCCCATATCGGTATTTTCCATTAATGAAAATCTTAAAAAGCAACAGAAAAAACCCCATATCATGAAATGATTATTCAATAATTTTACCAGTGAATGTTCTCACATCTGGGTATTTTGGGTTTCTTCTTACAATCAGAAAATACTGCCTACAAAAACTCTGTTGGTCCTTTTATATTTGCACAGGGTCACCTGGAATGATCTCAGCATTTCCACACGAGCAGTAGAGAGCTGCTATTTCTAGTGTCAGACTTGCTTTCTGGTCCAACAGGTATGGGAGTACATGCTGAGGTTCAATTACTGTGAATTGTATATTTATAATCTTTAAAGCACCTCTTTTCAGAAGCAAATTAAACTCCTTGGACAGGATTTGAAGTGTTATTGAGTTTCCTAAAATGCAGATAATCTCTAGCTGGGACTTTTAGAATATAAATTAGGACTCCTAGATACTTCTGAGAGTCCAGGCTGGTACGTATTTGCATCTTTAGGCCAAATGTGGCCTCACTTCTTGAGGGTGGGATTTAGGAAATGCTATCATTTGGAGATGTGTCTGAAAGCATGCAAATATTTTGCTGAATAAGACCAGACTTTAGAACTGTGTGTTTCAATGTTTTGTGTCATTTGGCTGACAGACCACACTTTGAATTCTGCGAGATGTGTGTGGCTGGCTGAATTTCAGTACTGCAGGCTTTGTGCAGAAAATGGTGGACTTCACTGCTGGCATCAGTGTAAGAAAGGAAGGTTTTCTTAGAAGCTTCCTGATGTGTTACCCGAAGTCCCTTAAGGTAACCACTTTGCTGGTGAGCCTGGGCTTGCAAGCAGCTTTAAACTCTCTGTTTTTATCATGTCCTAAACTCTCTGAGATAATCTCTCAGATTGGAATGTAAAGACCTATATAAATCTGTCTTTGTGGGCATCCTTCCTCCTTGCTGAAGAATAAAATAATCTCCTTAACATATTTAATAGAAAAATGAGTCCATCTTTGCTTTTCTTTCCACCTATTTCCTTCTCCGTGCTGAGAAAAAAAATTAACCTTTTGATGACCAAGGTACTGGGTATGTTCACAGCTTGTACATGTTGTGGTTTTGGAGTTCTTGGCATTGCCAAGGACAAAAGATTTAAGATTATGAGCAGCCTTAAGGCTCAGCTCCTGAGCAACAAGTTTCTCTGCAAAGCTGCTGTTGCAGTATCTTTAAACAAACTGAACTATTCTAACCTGATGTTGAGATTAGAGGTAAGGATTAAAATTCTCTGGTCACTCCCATTTTTATATAATTTGGCAATATTCAGGGCTGAATATATTGCAGTTGGAGCTTTGCAGCCAATGTTTCGTTGCAAATGTACTCATTGTTAGAAGACAACATAGATCTGGTTCAGAAGCACTTTGCATCCACTGAAATAACAATGTATTAGAATTAATTTTAGTGGTAAATCTTCAACACAAGAAGGTGGGCAGCTTGGTGGCTGAGACTTGTTCAGGAATGGTGCCTGCTTTTTGCATTTTTAGAAAACAAACAACAAAACCTGTGTAGAGTAGAATAAAAATCATAGTGGTAGAAAGATTCAACAGAAAGCCTGACATTCTTCTGGTGTTCAACAGCCCTCATAACAATGCACATTGTTCTACTGCAGCATGTCAGCCACCCAGGGGATTCAGATCAGCAGTGGAGAGATTCATGGTCCTGCAAGAAAATTTATAATGGTGACCAAAATGGAATGAAATCCAATTTCCCCCCTTTTTACATATTTTATCTTGAATTGTACCTTATGTGACAGGACTGCAATTAATATCTCTTGTAAAACAGAAGGCTCGTTAAATTGGCCTCATTATGGTTGCTGAGCTGGTGTGCTGCTGCTGAAAGGGATTCCCCCATTATCTGTGTTTGACACGTGCTCCTAATCAACTAGGCCAATTCTGCTCTATCAAAGGTCTGTCACACGAGAGGAGATAATATTTATTCTGGCTTGTACTATTAGCGTAAAAAATGTAGGTTGCGTTGGCAGACACATAACCCTCTGTCACAACTGGTCACACAGAGCATTTATCGAGGTGTTCCCTTTCTGCAAAGGTGACCCCAAATATAGCTCACTTCACCTTTCACTGCCGAGGACCCTGGTCGTTTTAGTTTTTTAAAACCTCTGCTTTAAGGGAATATTTATGAAATGAAACCTCACAGCAAGAAGTGTTAAGGTGCAAGATTAATGTCAATTCTGCAATTTCCTCCACAATTTATTGATGAAAAAAAATCCATCAGCCCTACATATCCAGCTTGCTTTGGAAGCTTGTTAGCAATAAATGTTCTCCTTTCTGAGAGATCTTAATATGTGTCACAATATAACCTCATTTGCTGAAAATTTTCTGAACACTTGGTTTTGTTTCATGATGATACTCAGTTTAGCTGGGACAGCAATTTCCACTGTTTAGAGAACTGTTCATAGAAAATGGATGAGGTTTAACATAGGTGATACTGTTTCAGTCCATAGGGTTTAGCTACAATAATACCCTAATGCAAGGCTTAAGAACATCACCTGTAAAAGGTTTGCACAGATATTTTCGAACTGTTGCAGTGTTAACTGCTCAAAAGAAACATTTGTAGCTGTAATGCAGCCTCATATGTTTGAGTGGGAAACCAACTGCCCCAAAACACAAGCCAAATGCTCTCTTATTTACATGTAAGAAATTTTGGATAACAAGCTAGATCCATACAAATGCTATATATCTATATATACACATATATATGTGTGTATAATCTATACAAATGCTACAGACATATTTTTAATTTTTCATCCTTTTCTTTATATGTATGCAGCATCTCTAACCAGAGGAGGATGCTTCCTTGTCTCCAGTACTACAAAGCAGTTTCTGATTTGAGGCAGAAGATGGGAACTGGGAGGAAGGGCAATTGACTGTGCTCATGCCAACTGTTGGGATGATGCTGCAACACCCTGGCCTGGCCTGATTGCTGGAAAAATGACAGAGAATTGAGGTGGAAGGGTGTTAACTATGCAAGTCCTTATTGGTTGTTTAAACTCTTCTGGTTTTTTTTACATCAGTACAATTTTTCTTGGATTACCAGGAAACTGAGAGAGCACCGACCTGCATTTTGCAACAGAGCCCTTGTTACAGCAGTGCTGAATATTGGCAGATACTTCAGACTCTGCAGCCAGGAGAAAACAAGCATCCTTCCTCCCCAGAAAGTGTGGGAGTGTGCCTGTTGCAGAAGTTGCTGTCACATCAAGGAGAAAGTTGGGATGTTGTAGGGGTGCTGAGCCTGAATGACCTGAGTGAAAGCAGATACTGTCCTGCACGTGCCTGGAAGAGGTTTTGCAGGAAGGTCCTTATGAGCACAGCTTAGTGCCAGAGCCCTTGGCCTCCCCTTTCCTTTTGTCTTGGGGCTGATGGCTGAAATGCCGCTTGTCCAGGAATCGGATGATTTCCCAGTCACTATTCTGTTCCTGGAAAAGCTTTTTCTGCTAATGAGGGCCTTATGTTTATGATTTGCTTTGCTATGCAGAAAAGCTTCTACTGGGACTGTAATGCAGAAGACAACATTTGTCTCCTTCTCCAAGAGATGATCTGAGTCAGTGAGTTGATGCCAAGAGACTGGGCCTTTTATTTGCTGTTGGGAAGGGAACTCTCCTTTTTTTTTTCTTTCTTCCCTTTCCAAAGCAAAAAGCTCTGTAGTGTTTCTCTGGTCCCACACAGAATGACGAAGAAATAGCTGTATTTTACAAATGAAGAGACAGAACACCACACTAGGAAGACTTTGTTTTTAGGTACAGCGTACAGAATGTTGAAATATTTAAAATCAGTCAACCACAACTTGGAAATTATTAATACATTTTTCAGTCAAACCACCCAAAACAGATGAAGCTTAAAGCAAAATGAGGTTTCTGATCATGTAGATAATAATCTTTCCTTTTTGCAGACTCATCTTCCATGAGCTCCTAGTATTGTGTGTACTTCCAGCACCATGTAGTTGATGCATAATTAATGAGGTTAGCATAATGCCACATTTGTTTATTAGATGAAATATCCTTAAAGTCAGCGTTGGAAAGCAGAAAGCATGGAGCTAGATTTTTGATGAATAATTTGTTGTGAAGCTGATGCTTTTGCAGATGTAGATCATCAGTTAAATAAACATGACTGCAGACAACAGATTGGTCCTGATGGGGAAGTCTGTGCTCCCTGAACCTTTACCAGTCCCACTTGCAGGAAGTCCCTGCAGGCGCTGTGGTTCTGCTGCCCTGTCCATGCAATGAGCTGCCTGTCAGCTGCACCATGGCAGTCTGGGGTGGCAGAAAGTCCCCAGGCATTGCTGTGCTGGGAGCAGTCAAGGCCTGCACCTTAGCTCGGGGTGTTAACTGCTCCTGGCTCCAGCAGGGCTTGGAGCCAGACCTCTCTTTAGTTATTGACAGTTCTCAGAGAAGAGGACAGCTATGTGAGCTGCAGTTTGCATGGGTTATCTCCTTGTGCTTTCCAATTTTCATTCATTTTTGTTGCACAATGCCTTATGCACTTTGCAAGATGTGGCAGGAAGGATGCAGAAACACGTGTCCGTGTTTCCTGCAGTAAGTCCATCTTTCCCACTGTAATGGACTGAGGTCTCAAAGGGAAAGTCCAAGAGTTGATAATGGCAGGGAAAAACTCAGTTAACAGGACTGAGTGGGAAAACATTGAGAAAGTTGCAATTCCAGGCATGGTCTGATGCAAGAGGTTGATGTTCTGTAGCAATTTTTGAACATAATTAGCAAACAACCGTGGCCAAATTCTTTCCTCTGAGTCTTCCTAATTTGGAGGAAAAAATGGAAAGAAAAATCTTGCACATGCAGAACTCAGAAACGTGCATTATTTCAAAACAGTGGGCTAAAAATACAGTTTGAAGTGTTTAGAGCAAAGATAACCCTTTAAAAAGTCTTTCATTTAGAGATCTGGCAAACTGGAGAAACAGAAGTGAAGATCTCTGCTTGCACTGAGAGCTGATTCCTCAAGGTCAGTGACACTGGAGTCAGTTTTAGCTGATTGTGGAGGACTTAAAATTTTTTAGTAATTGCACAGAGACATCTCAATATATTGTCCAAAGAATTTAATGAAACCAAACTTAAGTTGTTTATTTGAAAATTCTGAGGCAAAGTATTTATGTTGTGAATGTTAGACTGTAGGAGTCAGGCTGGCATTTTGCCAGAAAATGTGATTTTTTTGGGAATTTTGTGGAAATTTTAAGAGAATATAAATAGAAGCTGTCTAGCAAAAGGTATGAAATCCAATGTTTCTGTATACTGTAATATAGTTAATTAAGAAAAACTAGAGTTGTGAACAATTGAACAATGCAGGGAGCAGAAGAGGAACTCCTGTTCATCCTTTAATCCTCTGTAATTCCCTTCTGATCAACCTAAGTATTACAATGACTGATTTCTAACTGCATCCAACCAAAAATAAAATTGTTTCTTTTTACCCTTTAAATTTTAAACCTGGCATAGATTTTTGGAGAGGAATGTCTTTATGGAAATTGGCTGTGCCAATGGACTTGGAGTTTTCAAAGGAAAGAATTTAAAGAAGTTAGACTCCAATTCAGCACCTTATCTAAATATTCCCCATAGGTAGCTATGTACTCAGCTGACTAGCTGCTAAATAGCCCTCCTGGAACCATTATCCTTACACTTTACTATCACAAAGGCCTTCTGTTTTAATTCCTTATATGTAAGGAAAACCAGAATGGGTTCCAGTGTGAATAGGACAAGAAAATGGGATGCACATGTGTGAGAAGTTTAACATATGTGTAAGTGCTCAAAGTACTGCAGCCTGTACTAATAAAAATTACAGATTTTTATTACAATTTTCAATTACTTTTTCACTCAAAATAGTTATTGAATGGCTTTCTATTTTTATTTAGAAATATATTTTATTTTAGAGTTTATACAGTATTTCAGGCTGCACAAAACATACAGTTCTTACTTGCACAGCAAATAGAACAAGTCATTATGCTGGAAAACTGCTGTGTCTGCCTGAGTCTTCTCCCAGTTTCTCTCAGTTATTACAGACATCTTGAAACACCTTCCTTTTATACACTTATGCCTACCTTGCATCCATATTTTCTATCCTCCAGATCATACCATATTAAAACAGTGTGAAAGTGAAAAGTGATCGTGGCAATGAATCAAAGTTATTTCAGGAGTAACCTGATTTTTACTTTTCTATTAGAAAGTAGTATTTTTATAATAAACTAATTTTTTTTGGCGGTCATTACTCATCAAAAAGGATTTTTCGTATCTCCAAAGGGGTGGCTCAGTGTTTTTTTATTGCCTCTAAGCCTAAACTTCAGCAAGTGTGTGATCAAGTATACTGGAAAAATCCTTTGTCCATTGCTAAACCTTATGAAATTGTAGATCAAAAGAATTTTCCTATCTTGCAAGGACTGTGGTACTATTCATGGGCTAAAAATGACTGTCAGAGTAATAAAACAACTACTGTTGTCAGGGAAAGATTAAAAGCAGCAGCTGGATTGTACACAGTCAACTTGAAAATCTTTCTCTAGGAAGGTAGACGCTTTAGAAAATGATCTGGCTTTTCAGTTGATTTGCCATGATTGGCAGCCCCATAAAATGGCTACTGACACAGGAACTTACAAAAGAAAGAAGCCTTTTTTTCCCTGTAAAAGTCCATATTCTGCTGCTTGCCTTCTCCCAAATTGGACTCTGCACTTGGAAGTGAGATGTAATGCAAGTGTCATGGCGATGATGGGTGCCAGCCTTTTCCTCTGTTTTATCCAATTTACCTATCCTTGTTTTTTCTGAAGTCATTCCTGCTGTCAGCTTTCTGCAGCTTGTGTTTTAACCTATGCTCATTTTACCATTTTAGTTGTGTTCCTTGAGTTCATCTGTACGTTTTGCAATTCTCCTTGAATTCAGGATATTGCCACATCAGTTTCCATGTAATTTTTCCAAGATGATAATCAGATGGAACAGTACCAAATACATCTAACCTCCATTCAGGTTCTACCTTTATCCCAGTATAAAGGAGTGAATATTTTTAATTGTCTCCATACTTATAGACATCCTATTCCTCAAATTAGCATGTGTGCAATGTTTGAAACTTTATTTATGCAAGGTCAGCGTAATAATTTCTTTAATTAATTCCTTCCATTCCATTTAATTATCTTTCTTATTTATAGTCATCCAGACTTTCTTGTTCTACTGAATGAAGCAGAGTATCTTTCTCTCTGTATGACAAGATTTGGCCATCTGCCTTCCATTTGTTGGTGATTTTTCCTAGACTGTATTTCTCTTTGGGGTTTTCTTTCCTGATACCTTTTTGATTTATATTTATTTATTAACATCTTGCCTCAAATATTTCTCACTACCTAACTTGCTAATTTGGAGAGTAGTTTATCTTTCTTTTATCCTGACAGCACCACTGGAAGTTAACTCTATGATTTGCCAGCCCTTTTCTCCCTGGCTTTTGATTCCAGCCCTCCTTGTACTGTAACTTTGGGCTCCACGTTCCACTATGGGCACCGCTGCACCTCCCCTCATGTCTGCTTGGCCAGATTATCAAATATAAGACCTGTTTGTCTGTGCTGTTTTCCCTTAGGGTTATGTGCAATGGAATTGTGAGTAAACAACTTTGTTCCACTATATCTCATTTTCTGGGCACTGGTCTTAAACCCACGTATATGCTTGGCTTTGCGGGTCTAAAAATGCATGTGGGTTGCCTAATTTGTCCCATCTCAGATTCAGTGGTGGTGCATTGTCTTCTTGCCCATTCAGATGCTGGGCTTGGGACACACTGCCCACAGCTCTAGGTAATATCAGCAGTGTTCCTCCTTTCTGTGCTGATCATGGAAAACTTCCACCAGGAGCCAAAACCCACTGTCCCTTCTGATCTCTCTTCAGTGCCCTGCTTGAGAAACACAAGCTCCTACTGTAGGTGATGGCTGAACCGATCCAGAAAGAATGGTGTTCAGGAGAGCTGCTGAGCAGAAGTGCTGGATGCAGCCACTGGCACATGGGCAGGCACTGTGGTCCACCCCCTGGGCACTTACCCTGCCTAAAACTCCTTTACCCAAACCCTTAAGTGGAAGGGTCTGAATGCCTTTAGCTTCTTCTTGGGCTCAGGCTCTAACAGCAGCACCAAACCTCACTCTCGCTGACCGGGGACCTTGGGAAAGAAAAGAACAATGTCTGACGTTTTTCTCAGATCTTTCTGAAGGAGAAATACAGATAAAAGCAAAGCTCTTTGTGACTTATTTTTTTTCACTATCTACTTGAAAGGCAGTGGGTCAGAATTAAGGCATTTTTGCTGCGGAGGAAATGTGTGGGATGTTGGCTGCAAGCCAGTAGCCACTAACATCCCTGCTGCACTAGGAATACTTGAATGAAGTGGGCGTCAACCTCGGGAGAGCGGGCAGCACTACCTACATCAGAGGAAAACCTCCTCATTGAGATTCAAGGAGTAAATATATTGAATGGAGATAAACCGGTCTGGTAGATTTTTCTGTGGGGGGACACTGAAAATTCAAGAATCATCATCCAGTCTGGAAGATCATCCTCTAAGCTCCTGTGCCTGTCAGGTCCCATTCATTCTACTGGAGAAGAGATCCATACAGTTCCTGGCTTTTCTGACAGTTTTAAAGTTTCATCTTCCAGTTCTGTTTTCTCAACACAAAGAATGATGAAATAACATCCGGAGCTTTCAGGCAATAGTCCATGCTACAGTCAGTCTTCTAGGTTTTTTTTTCCAAAACCAGAATGAAGATCTGAAGTGTGTCAAATGTTTCTTTAAAATATAATTTAGCCAAACACTCATCCTGCTTATGTCCAGCTGCATATCCCCTGGGAAAAATAGAAGTGATTTCTAGAGTTTCTTTGTATCACTAAATTATGAATCTGAAAGATCAAACAGAATACTCCGTGTTGTCTTTCTCGTTGTTATCTGCCCTTTCACTGAGTTAGTCACCAGTTCTATCCAGTCTAAATATAAGCACATTTTTCTTGAATCAAGTCCATCATCCCATCTTATCTGTGACATCATTGAATTATTAGAAACTAGTACATTTTTTTTTTTTTTTTAAAGAGGGGAAATGGCAATGATGGAAAAACGGAAAGGAAATGTTTTGGCTAAGTGTTGGCACTGGACAAAAGAGGCCATATCAAGGCAGAATGGCTAGAATAGAGCATCACAAGTACTTTAAAATACTCTTGTCCTTGCAGGGAAAATAAAGAGATCCTGGACAAGTGACAAAATTACTTCAGTGTAAATCTAAATGTTTATATGGTAGTGATGATTTAGATTATGGGTAGTTGTACATGTTGGCTCAAACATGTCTGGTCTAACAACACTGAGGTTACAGAAAGATGGGGGATCCAAAATGACAGCTGGCTAACATGGAAGGAAAAAAAAAAGTGAATTTGAGTAGGATTTGGGAAAAACTAGACCTGTGAACTGGAGCAGGTCTACCAAAGCAAGGTAATTATTTGCTTTGGTTTTATAATGGATAATAGCTTTGTGTTGACAATTTGCCTTTCAAATTCTGTTTTTGGGAATGACCTGTAACAATGTGTTTGTGGACAATTGGTTTGCAGTGTCCTACCCCCTGGACAGCTTTAGTGCCTTGGGGCTGCACAGTTCCCGTGGCTGGGAAACCAAAAATCACCAACCGACCGACAGAGCAGGTCTGGGGTGGTTGATGGGTAGTGTCTGATATGAATCAAGCATGAAAGATCAGGGAGACAAATGTACTTGCTGGAGCAAAACTAATTGTTGGTCTTCTAGTGAGTTGGAAAAGTGAACTAGGGCTGTAGCTTGAAAAAAAGGTGTGAGGCTGAAGGACTGTGCAGCCAGGAAAGGCCACTGACTGATGGGTGTGATGGAAGTTCCAGCTGCCAGCATAAATGTGGACATCTGTGAGAAGAGACAGAACAGAACCAGGAGTCCAAGTCTGAGATTAGGGGAAGGACCTGGGAGAAAGCTTAATGGCAGCAACACGGAAAAGAGAGATGGAGTGATGGAGGTTTGGACGCAATATTGGGAGATACTCAGACACTTCAGCAAGAAAAACGGCCTGAGGGGTAATATACTCAGGAAAATGGAAGAAGACAATGTAACTGTAATGTCTTCTGCTGTGAAGGACCTTTCTTTTTCTGACATCTCTGGGTAGTAAGCAGCAAATTAGCAAATCCTCAAAATGGATTTGGAAAGTAACCGCACTATCTGGTCTGAGAGAAAAGTTTAAAACGTAGGTTTTTAAGGAAAAGAAAAATGTGCCAGAGGGCTGAGAGTTCTTAAGACCAAGTTATAAACCTTTGAAAATAGGATTTTATAATGGAAATGCAGAGATCATTAACTATTGTAAGCACCTCTAAGAATGACACCTCTATAGTAAATTACATTCAAATTAATATAAAACTGTAAAGATTCCCTGACAGCTTTGATTATGTAAGTTGATTTTAGTAGTTAAATGTTGACTTTCTATAATGCATTCTCCAAATATTATACTGAATGCTGCATCATATATAACAATTACCATGTCACAGTGCTATTTTGTGTAAATTAAATTATTGACAGCAATATAATTTTGTATTCACTTTATTATTTTGATCCATTTTTCTGTCAAAATATACAATGACTCTTCACTAGATTTAGAAACCAGAAAAACTCTTTAGCTGGTGAAGTATTATTCTCCATACATTATTTTTCCTTAGCCTGTAATGAGTTTGGGGGAGAGAGGGGGAAGCAACATTTCATTCCTCCTCTGACATTATGTGTGTTTTTAGACACATTGTCAACTTTAAATTGTGTTTCAGTAAGTGTGCTTATCAGAAAGCCTGCAAAGTCCATAACATGCCTGGTCAGTTGTCCAGGCATGTGGCAGAGATGGTGTTTTTAGTGTGCTCCAGCACAAGTGCTGTCCTGAACCACAGGATAGGGTTTTTGATATGGTTATGATTATTCCGCATAGCTTTAAAGAGGGTCCGTTGTATATCACAGGGTCAATACTTCCTGTTCTTTGATATCTCTTAAGGATTGAAGTGAAAAACATCATCTGTGTGGCACAGCTCCTTCTTCACACCTCTTCCCACTTGTGGGATATGGCAACAGTGATTCTCCATCCTTGGATGCCTGGAAAGTACTTTCGGGTTGTGGTTGTAACTGCAGATTAATACTTGTAAATGTAGCACTTAAAGTTATCTCATTTACCCTTCTCCAGATGCACAGCCTGTCAGCTCCTTGTGGCCTGCTCAACACTGCAGTGCAGAAACTGGGACACAAGTTATGTCTTCCTACTGTATCTCGGCCTTCTCCAGGCAGGTACCCTGACCTCCAGTGTGGAGACGGTCCAGCTGGCTCAATTCACGTAAAGCCCAGTGAGAAAGACACAAGGAGGCCCCAGAATAACTCTGAAACATGTTTTTGGGTGCCATCCTACAAGGTGAAAGAAATGGGCTGAGCTGCTTTTAGGAAGAAAAGAGGGATGAATCCAGCACATCACACACCATGGGCAAGGACTCGAACTATGGGTATGAAAATTCCCTTCATTCTGAATGGTGGCAGAAAGGCCCAGAAAATGCTGATCTTCTCAGCTGGTCCAGTCCAGGGAGGTTGAGGAAAGCCGACTTTGTGGCTTTCCTAGCAGGGTTTAGTTCCAGCTTTGGTGCAGCCAAGCCTCAGTCACATCTGCATCTGCTCGGTAATAGAAAGCAAAGGCACACTGGCACTCCTGAGCCTGGGAAGCAGTTTCTGGTCCCTGGGCCAGTAAGTGCAGACTTGTTTGTGGACATACAGCTGTGGGCTAGTTACCTCTTCAGCAAACCGGCCCAGGTCTGTATCCTTAGTGCCCTGTGAGCCTTAAACTAAAGATTTTTGCGTAGTGAGAGTGGGACAGGGGATGAGAGGTAACTGGAGGGCACTCTGAGTTCACCATAGATTTAGCAGTGCTCTCTAAATATGTCAAAGTTCATTTGTCTGTTGTCCTGAGTTTGGGAACACATAAATAAAATATATGTGCTTTCTATGGCAGCACAAAACTCATCCGATACTAATGAAATGTGCTTAGCCATTGCACATGTGCTTAATTCAGTATGAAATGTTATTGTATTGTTATTATATTGTTATTGGTATATTGTCAGTTTTAAGGGACAGAAGCCCAGAGACACTTGGCAAGCCCTGATGGGCATTACTGGTAGTACTGAAATGTCACTTCTTAGCCTGGGTCATTCATTTTTCCCTTTGCTTAGACTCTGTTATTGATATACACTGCATGTTTAAGATCTGCATTGTGGTGGCAGTAGTAGCAGTGTGAACATGGAAAAGAATCTGTTTGCTTGAAGACTGATGTCTTTTTCTCTTACATGGTCTGATAGAAAAGCATTACAGCTCTATCTGCCTTGCCCTCCTAATATATTGGTATTGGCTTTTATTCTGTTGGCAAACTGAGCTTATTCACAATTGTTGCAGACACAGCTGTGGAAGCACCATGTCAGCATGACCATTTCTGTTAGCTGGTTTATAAAATGCCAGGAAGCCATTGATGGATGGAAGAATCACTTCCTTCTAGTTTCTTGTCAAACATTTAGTAGCCACTTGTAAGGAAAGCTCTTGTCCCTGCATCTTTCTGCATGTATTTTCATGTATCTTCCCCTGTAGGAAGCAGTTTCACACACAAACACGTTTCAGCCGTACAGTTTTAATAGAACCAGCTTCACTTGAGAGTAGACAAATAGACTTGGGTCTTCTTCTGGCACAGGCACAAAGCATTAAGATGTGATGCTGAGTTTCTCATTTGGCCTCATTTCTTGTTTGATTTGCCAGTGTGGGAGTTAATGGTATAAACACAGAAATATGGGGCATAGGGAGCAATACGTTCTGTGCTGTCCTGTTCAGGTAGCTCTGTTTCTTGCTGGCTTTGATAATATGTTGCTTAGAGTAGTTTAAATGGCAGGGGGGATGAGGAACAGGTGGTGATGAGAGAGAATTAATGTAAGAGGACATGGAGAAATCATATTGCTCCATAGCAAGTTGCTCCTCCCAGCATATTTCTGTGCTAGCCCATATAAGTGGGACTCTATAACAGTATCCTGTGACTACACCAGAAGATGCAATGGCGTTGAGTTCAGGTATTAAACAAATATATATCCTGGTTCATCTAATTTTGGGATCTGAAATTTTAAGTTGCAGTCATTCCCCTTGATGTATGAGTGCCCAGACACTGTGGTGATAAGCTAGGCCTTGTTAGCACCTCAGGTTACTAACCCGAGAGAGGAACTTGGCACAAAAGGAGGATTTAAAGCTAAAACAGAGCAAACAAGAACTGATAACTGGTAAAGTCATCCTGAGAGTTGGGAAAGATGAACCTGCTGGGCAGGTATTCCCTAATGATGTTGTTTTGACTTTACTAGCCTGCCTCCTTCTCAATGTATCTTATATTTGCTCAAAGAAAATCATACTGCTCTTCCCAGTTATTTCAAAGTAAAGTCACAAGAATAGCTTGTTCCCACTCTATTCCAAATATAGCTCTTGGCAGCAATTGCTGAGATAAGGGGGAACTACCAAGGAAGAGGAAAGATGGGAGGGGGAAGAGAGAAAAGAGAGCTGAAAAGGTTGGACAATAGAGAGAGAGATACATGAATGAGAGAGGAGGTGAAAGAACAAGGCCAATGCAGTGCAGCAGAGAAATATAAATCAAAGATAGAAACAAACTCCTGCAAAACAGGTGGCAGCAGCCCAAATATAGGATGAAAAGGACCATGCCCACCCCCAGGAGAAGCTGGAGTTTTAGCCTCGCAAATAACCAAACTGTAAAAAAATCACATCAAATTTTGACTTCCACTCAGATTGTAGGGGTTATAGCATCAGAAAACTTATGCTAACTTACACCACTTGAAGATCTGGCCCTAAAAATTTTAAAGCAAAACATCTTGCTTATTTTAATCTCTTGTGGCTTTTTTTTTTTTTTTTAAATTCTCTGCTCCAGTAACATTTGCTGTCAGCTCCTGACAGAAAGCCATCCATTGGTTAACTTTGCTGAAAATGAACCTGAATACCCTTGTCCTCAGGAATTTACAGTCAGGATGGTGAGACTGGAGCATGTAGACATGCCCTCAGGAGCAGAAAGTAAATGCTGATAAAAAAGTAAGGAAAAGCCAGAACCAAACTCAGACTGACTTACCCAGAGCAAAGAGCTGAGGGGTTCCAAGGCTCAAGGCAGACTAGTTTAAGACCAAAGCACAGAGAAATGAGACATAAATGGAAACAGGTTTTGAGAAGTGGCACACAGACAGGGCAAAGGCAAATGAGTGCCTGGAAATCTAGGAATCCTGTGAGTGGCTCCAGCTTCCCTGGAGGGGTGGGAAGTTTCTGAGAAACACCCCACAGAGGTCTTCTGTATCTCTTCTCAGAAGATTGCTTGGAAAATGGTGCCAGAGTTTCCCTGCTGGTCTGCTGGAAAGAGGTGCCATACCTGACCTTATTCCTCAGCTGAGGATTAAAAGCTGTGCTCGGTTCTGAAGGCACTGTTTCCTACAAACTGAGTGTGTCCAGAAAGCCTTCTGGCAAGCTTTCTCTGCACTCGAACACTAGGTAATGGGACCAACAGGAGAACTGAAAATGTGACTCTTGCTATACTTCTTTTATTTCAGCCCTTCAAGGAAGAAGGCCACTCGCATCATTAAGAGATGTGCTCAATTAATCTCTCTCTGGACTAAAGGCCCAGCCATGGGACAAGGCAGTATTTACAAAAAGCACAGGAGACACATTAAAGCAGGAAATACAAGGGTAAGTGAAACTAGTTTTGGAAGAAAGGACTGGAAACTAAAGCTTAGTAGGCAGACAATCACTATTCAGAAACAAAATCGTCGTTGAGAGTCTTGTCTCATGAATGATATGTGTATCCCAGTTATTTTCACAGTTGTGAGAAGCAACTTTTTTTTCTTTTCTTTTTTTTCTTTGTTCCCCTGGCAAGCAGCATGCAGAGCTGATATTTTAGCCTTCCAGCAGGGATGCCCCTCTGTGGGTTGCTCCCAGCACCTCTCTGCAGTATGTGATCCCCGTCTCGATACCTTTGGGGCTGCAGAGTCACAGCCTGTGGCTGGGATCTCTGACTCCACAGGGCTATATTTTCTCTATAGGTAGCACAACTGTGATGAAAACCTTTAGGGGTGCTGTTACACGGTGAAACACTTCCAGGGATGGGGCAGCTGCAGCTTCTTCGGGCAACCGGTGCTGGGACCTCACCCCCTCACAATAAAGAATTTCATCTTAAAATCTAATCTAAACTTGTTCGCTTTCAGTTTAAAGCCCTAAAACATTTTTTTTTCCCTGATACCATATTTCAAAGTATAATCTAAAGCAGAAAAGGTGTCACTTGGTCTGTTCAGCTGGAGGAGACTAAGGGGAGACCTTGTTGCAGTCTACAACTTCCTCGTGAGGGGAAGAGGAGAAGGGTTAGATGCTGATCTCTGTGGTGACCAGTGACAGGACCCGAGGGAATGCTCTGAAGTTGTGTCAGAGGAAGTTTAGGTTGGATATTAGAAAAAGGTTCATCCCCCAGAGGGTGGTTGGGCACTGGAACGGGCTCCCCAGGGCAGTGGTCATAGCACCAAGGCTGACAGAGTTCAAGAAGCATTTGGATGACACTCTGGGGCACATGGTGTGACTCCTGGGGATGGTCCTGTGCAGGGCTGAGGGTCGAACTCGATGATCCTTGTGAGTCCCTTCCGACGCAGCATATTCTGTGATTCCGTGAAACACCAGCAGCGCTCAGCCCAACGCATCGCTTTTTGCTCAGCTGCCGAGTCCTTGCTGGCTCCCGGCAGCGCCTTCCCCCAGGAGAGGGCAGTGGAGCCCGCACACGCTCCCCGCTCCCCTCCCGCCGCCGGCTGGGAGCACCCGCTCCCTCGGGTGTTCCCTGAGGAACGAACGGGGTGAGTGGAAGTAGGACTACGGATTTAATACGTGTGCTAGAAACCGTGTACGGGAACATCCAGGAAATGTTCTGCGTGTTTAATAACGAGAATAAGTTTTGAGCAAACGAGTTTGTTGTTGCTTTTATTTGACTGGAAGTTTGCTCTGCCACACACACTTGTCCACAGCCACACAAACTTAAACTAGTAGCTTGCTGATTCCACATGAGTTTGTTTAATTCCTATAGCCCGAATTAAAAAATGTTATTGACATTTAAATAGCCCTTCAGGATGCTGCTATAGCTCTCCTGAGCCAAATACTCACAATAAAGTCATTTACTTATTTCAAATTTACAGGCATTCATCCTAAGACAACAAGCTTGCTTGGCTGGAAACCACAGCGTGGTTTCAAGGCACTGTAATTAAGGGCAGACTGGGATGCCTTCTCCTCTGCTCCTTAACCATCCTATTTCCTCGGCATGCCAGCAGTCAGGCAGCTGTTTTCTGTACCTTCATGTTTACAGCAGGTTTCCCTGGCTGAATTCCAGGTTTTGGTGACTGGCCAGTACAGGCTGTGAGCCTGTATCAGTCCTGTGAGGGGCTGGCAGGGTAGACTGAAGGGAAGTGGCTTTTGCCTGCAACTTGGGAATCCAGGGGACACCCTGCCAAAACAGAAGGTATTAGTAAACAAGCATTTCATCCTGTGAGGACATGACAAATCTTTCTACCCCCAATGAAAAGGGACAAATTTAGGAAACTCTGAAATCCACCTTTGGAAAGAAGATCTCTTTTATATGAAATGTTAAGGAAGCACCAACCCCAACATGAATCTAGCCCAGACAGTTGTCCTTTGCTGTCGTCAGAGGACAGGGT